TAACCATCTGTTGCAGCTCCAACATGTGTTTTGATGCTGTAACACTGCAGAAAGCACATCTGGTACAATATCCTCAGCCTTTTATATACGAACATGCAATTGTTGGAAGAAATGTCAGTTCCAAGTGGGGAAAAAGACACTGGAAACATGGAGGCCGCTTGGAAAGATGGTTTAATGGTGGACAGCTTCACATGGCTTGAGCTCCTGAACAGAAAAGGGGTGGATCACATGCTTCTAGATGTTGGGTTAAGAAGAATGGAGAGAGAAAAAGAGGCTTGCTGAGAGTTCCTGAGTTTTTTATACTCTCTGTTCAGCACCAGCTCTCTGTTTCCTGTTCCTGTGTAAGATATGTATTCTGATTGGTTGTCAGACTCCCATGGGGCCATGCAGGGGCAACTCTCTAGGCTGTGTTTTGAGTCCAAGTTTGGTTGAGCATTGCTTCTTCCCAGGTGTCCTGTGGTGAGATGGGTAAAGGGCTAATACTATCACGCCTTAATCCCATCACACTGAAGGGGGAGATCTTTGTTGCGTAGAATAGACTGGCTCAGGCATTTTGATGGCCCATTGACAAAGGTGGGGGCTATTAAGAGTGAGTCTGTTTCCTACCTAAAAACATGTTTCTCCATTTCTTATCTAGGGAAATATAATATTCTGCCCTTTTAATATTTCCCAGGATATTTCATTTTTCTAGGAGAAGGATGGGTGCTAACTTCCTACACAACAGACATGGGGGATGCTTCATTTCTGAAAGAGTAATAGCAAGTTTAAAATTGTCAGGTTTTTCTTTTTTTACATCATTCTGCGAGGCTGCTGATCAGCCCATTAATCAAGTTCAAAACAATATCATCCTTCTGTCTTTGAGAAGATGAGGTGCCTTCATCTCCGAGACTTCAAACCGGCCCTTGGATTTGGTGAGCTCTGATGGAAGCCATTAATCCTTTGCTGGCCCCAAGCCCACGGTTTTCCTTGGCTTTTCTATTTTAACCTCTTGTCAGCAGCCTCCTCCGTCTCGTTTTAAACAGGTTTTATGCTTCTTTTCCCTGGGAACAAAAATCGCTTTTCCAGCAAGTTGGAAACACCCCTTTATCTAGCAGTGCATGGATATTATTACATCAAAGCAGTTGGAAAGAAAGAGGGTGGGGGAAGAAGTATGGAGAGAAGAATAATGCCAGAATGTTAAATACTAGTTACCGCTCAATCATACTCCTTTGTACACCTTGTTAACTTGTACACACCCACACCTTTCCTATAGGAGAAAGCACACATAAGTATATCTTTGTGTTTCTCCTGACAGGAAACCAGCAGCTTTGGGGAAGAGTAAATAAATAAAGTTGGGTAAATAAAGTTTGGAAAATGCCTTCCACCAGAGCATAGCAATCTCACTCTGTATTGCTGTTAATAGCAAAAGCAATAGCAGTTAGACTTATATACCACTTCATAGGGCTTTCAGCCCTTTCTAAGTGGTTTACAGAGTCAGCATATCGCCCCCAGAGTCTGGGTCCTCATTTCACCCACCTTGGAAGGATGGAAGGCTGAGTCAACCTTGAGCCTGATGAGATTCGATCTGCCAAATTGCAGTCAGCCAGCAGTCAGCAGAAGTAGCCTGCAGTAATGCACTCTAGCCACTGCACCACCGTGGCTCAAGTACCCAGAACACATGTTTTTCTGCCAGATCAATATAATATTGAAGGAACTTGTGTGTGACACATCCAAAAGGGAGCTTAGACATTTGGGGTGCACTGAGACACAAGCTAGCCTATGTTTTGGTCTTCTCACCCTGCTATGTATACGGGAAATGATTCATTTAAATGGAAACAAGAAAGCAAAAGGCAAGCTGTGCTAGAAAGATGATGGAATGGGGTGCGTAAGATTCTAAACTTAAATTTTCTTACAACAAAATGCCTTGTATTTTTTAAAAAAAATTTTTTTTTATCTTTAGCCAATATTGGTATTTTTGTGAATTGTTCAAGGCGAACCGTGGTTGCGAG